TCTACTGGGAGGCCAAGGTGGGAGGATGACTTGAGCCCAGGAGGTTGAGGCTGCAGTGAGTCCTGACGGTGCCACTGCACTCCAGCCTGGGTGACAGAGCAAGACACTGTCTCAAACAAAACGAAACAAAAACCAAAACCATTTACTACATCAAAGTACTTCGCCTCCATAGATAAAGGTAGAGGGAGGATGTCACTTGACTACGATTACATCCTTGGCCCACCTGATTCCTACACCAGTCAGGCAAAATAAACTTTCCCCGCAACACGTGAAAATATAATTATCTATCTAGAAATGACCAGGAAGATGTTATAATATAAGAGAGGCTAGGAAGCTACAAAGTAAAGTGCTAATATCACAACCACGTTTTAAAATAAAGAAGACAAACTGACAGTTTGAACTGTCATTGAGAAGGCAACACGTATTTCGAAGTTAGATTTCATCAAGCTTGGTGACTTCAGACTCTGCCGTTTCTGGAGCATCAGCGCTACCAGGGAGTGTGACCTTGTGTTTCAGGTGAAATGGTAACTTACGGGGTGAACTTGCATTAAAGAATGCCCTACTCAATGTACCCAGGGTTTGGGTGACTGAGAGCATTTTCAAAAGTTGATTTTAGGTTTAAAATCAAAAGCAGGACAGGTAGGGAATCAACCTACACTACCACAAATAGAGGTAGCTAAAGTCAGAGTATTGAGATAAAGTAGATGTTCAGTCCCTCCTAGGTATAGATGCACCATGTGAAAAGGAGGGCATAAGTCACAAATGTATCTGTGTACATATGAGCATGCCTAGATCATATGTATAATACGTATAAAACACATGTGTTTTATGTGCAATCAGGGAAATATGCATGACGTTTGGTCAAATGCTCAGTTTCAATTCCAAACGTTTTTGAGTGGCAAGAAGAATTGATGACTCTTCATTTCTGAAGGGGAGGCACGAAGGGACTCATGAGGATGATGACAAGTCATTGGCTTCTTGTTGGTCTCCATCTCTTTCCAAACATCAACAGTTACTCAAGTTAGGAAAACTGAGCAAAGAACTCAGGCCTTACATTTTCCTTAAACACTCAAGTATTTTAAAAATGAGTATTTAAAATAGAGTGGGAAATTCATTTTGAGTTTGGCTAATCCTCAAAGTAGAAAAGAAATGATTTTCAGAAATCTGATTATTAATATAAGACAGAACCCAAACAGGAAAATAAGAGTGGGAAAGGAGAGAGAAAAATGAGAAAAATTCCTTGTCTAAGATGGCAAGTCTTCACTGAGATGGGTTAACCATTCTTTCAGAGTAATTTTATTTATTTATTTATTCATTTATTTATTTATTTATTTATTTATTGAGACAGGCTCTTGCTCTGTCGCCCAGGTTGGAGTGCAGTGGTGCGATCTTGGCTCACTGCAACCTCTGCCTCCTGGGTTCAAGCAATTCTCCTGCCTCAGCCCCTGCAAGTAGCTGGGACTACAGGTGCATGCCACCACGCCCGACTAATTTTTGTATTTTTAGTAGAGACAGGGTTTTGCCATGTTGGCTAGGCTGGTCTTGGACTCCTGACCTCAGATGATCCGCCCACCTCAGCCGCCCAAAATGTTGGGATTATAGGCGTGAGCCATGGTGTCCGGCCCTCTTTCAGAGTAATTTTAATTAAAGCTATTTTTTGTTAATTTTGAATGGATAATATTTATAGATAGTAATAAATTTGAACAGAAAAAGTCTATCTAAATAGAAAAATCCTCCCCCTTCCTACTTACCCCCAGCCATCTAGGTGGAGATCCAGAAGGCAACCAGTTTAACCAGCTTCTTGTATATCTTGTGTATCCTTCTCAAGATGATCTACGCACAATCATATATATGGCCCTCTTATTTTATCCGAATGGGAATCTACTGGATATACTGTTCTCCCCTTGACTTTACCCTCACTTAAATACACATCTTACATGGACTGAAATTTAAGGTATCAGTATGAACTTGTGATTTCTAGAATATTTGTAATTACAAATATGTACATGTATATGTGCATATACATGCATATATTTACAGCTGCTGTCTGCTGAAAGAGCCTACAAACAAAGATACCAAGTAGTAATAGCACATCTTGCATCCAGATCTTGGACTCTAATACTTTTCAACACCAAAAGGAACCAGGGCTCTTGAGAGAAATGGCTGGTAACAAAGCTGGATCAGAGCATGCCTGAGAGGGGCCTAGATGATCACATTAGGCCAGAAAGTAAGGAAGTGCCAAAAAAAAAAAACATGATAGGGACATGTCATAAGGACACAAGAGTCAGCTTGAAGGGGTTCCCGCTGGCCAAATCTGGGACAGCTGGAGCACCACAATAATTGAGAGCAGCAATGAATTACAAACCACTGAAAAACTAAGAATCCAAAACTATAATATACAAATAGGGGAGAAGGGAAAGCTGTAGCTTACAGTAAAATACCATCATTTACTGATTAGTAAATGATGAGAGTGCTGGAGTTGAAAAACCATTATTTTGCAACCAATAAATAAAGGTTGTTTCAGGCAAGAATCTTCAATGGATATTAAAGAGAGATTGGACTTTTTAGAGGAGCAGATATTTGCATGATCTTAAAGTGTCTCTGCAAAGATTATTAGTTGCGAGGGAAAGAATCTATTTAATATTTGGGAAAGTGGACAACACTTTGACTAGGGGATCAAAATTCACATCACCAATAGGGGACAGACGAGCACCGTGGGCTTCCAGGCAATACTCCGAGAAGGACGTGTATCACTTAAGTAGCATAAAAGACGAAGAAAGGGCTGGATGCAGTGGCTCACGCTTGTAATCCCAGCACTTTGGGAGGCCAAGGTGGTTGGATCACGTGAGGTCAGGAGTTCGAGACCAGCCTGACCAACATGGTGAAACCCCGTCTCCACTAAAAAAAAATACAAAAATTATCCGGGCGTAATGGCAGGCGCCTGTAATCCCAGCTACCCAGGAGGCTGAGGCAGGAGAATCACTTGAACTCGGGGGGCAGAGGTTGCAGTGAGCCAAGATCACGCCATTGCACTCCAGCCTGGGCAACAGAGCAAAACTCCATCTCAAAAAAAAAGATATGGAACACTTCCTACAAAGTTCCTTGTGTCTCCTTCCAACTAGTCTCCACCACCCTCATCCCTAACAGCAGCCACTGTTTTGATTTTCTATCACAACATAGTTTTGCCTATTCTTGAACTTTTTCTAAAAGGAATCATAATCATACTGCTTAATGTCTAGCTTCTTTCTCTCAAGAGAATATGTTTGAACTGTATCCATGTTGTTGAACATATCAGTACTTCACTCCTTTTTATTGCTTAATAGTATTACATTATATAAATGTGCCACAACTTATATATACTTTTCCATTGATCAGCTGATGGACATTCCTGTGTATGTCTTTTTGTGAATTTGTGTTTTCATTTCTCCTGGTTGGGCCATAGGTTAGGTGTATGTTTACTTTTAAAGAAACTATCAGTCGGGCACAGTGGCTCACGCCTGTAATCCTAGCACTTTGGGAGGCTGAAGCGGGTGGATTACTTGAGGTCAGAAGTTCAAGACCGGGCTGGCCAACATGGTAAAACCACATCTCTACTGAAAATACAAAAATTAGCTGGGCGTGGTGGTGGGCACCTGTAATCCCAGCTACTTGGGAGGCTGAGGCAGGAGAATGACTTGAACGCAGGAGGTGGAGGTTGCAGTGAGCTGAAATTGCGCCACTGCACTCCAGCCTGGGCAACAGAGCAAGACTCTTATCTAAAAAAAAAAAAAAAAAAGGAAGAAAAAAAGAAACTATCAGCTGTTTCCATTGTGGTTGTACCCTAACTTACCACTTTTATTGGCTACAAAGTACACTGATTGGGTAGATAATTATTTATTTAACCAGTCCCCTATTGTCAAGCATTAAGTTATTCTCAATCTTTTACCTTTATAAACAGCTTAATAATGAACATTGCTGTCTAAGCAGCTTTGTCCAGATGTGTGAAAATATCTATAGAATAACTTTACAGGTGGGTGAAAGAGGGTGTACATTTGAATTTTCTATAAATACGATAATTAGTCCTTCACATTGCTCATTACCAACTCCATTCCTACCAGCAAAATATAAGAGTGCTTGTTTTCTCATATCTGTTTGCCAAAGTTATAGGTAAAATTTTGAATCTTCTAGTTTTGTTTTCTTCTGAGAATCACAATGTTGACTTTTTACTTTAGTTTCCTGTATTTATGTCACCCCTATATTTCAGATCTGTGTTTTGTTTCACCTGTACAATTTAGCTTCCTCCCAAGTCCCTTTCTATCATTTTAGACACCACCTTCAGACGAATTTTACCATGTCACTCCCCAGCTAGAAAACCTTCCCTGGCGCCTGGTGTGGTGCCTCACGCCTGTAATCCCAACACTCTGGGAGGCCGAGGTGGGTGGATCACCCGAGGTCATGAGTTCAAGACCAGCCTGACCAACATGGTAAAACCCCGTCTCTACTAAAAATACAAAAATTAGCCAAGTGTGGTAGCGCATGCCTGTCATCCCAGCTACTAGAGAGGCTGAGGCAGGAGAATCACTTGAACCCAGGAGGCGGAGGTTATGGTGAGCTGAGATTGCGTCATTGTACTCCAGCCCGGGTAACAAGAGAGAAACTCTGTCTCAAAAAAAAAAAAAGAAAAAAAAGAAAAGAAAAAAGAAAACCTTCCCTGGATCCCCACTGTCTACTGAATAAAATCCAAACCCTGCATCTTCACACTGACGATCTAGTCCATGTTTCTTACTCTTTCCTCCAAAAGATTACTGTTTATGTGCTCCAACACAAATGAAGCTTCCCATGGGCCTCCGTCCAGTGTGTACTTCCCGCCTTTATGCCTTCACACATATGGTTCCCTCAGCCCAGAAAACCCTTTTCTCCCTCTCTACCTGTTGAATCTTACCTTGCCCAGAAACCCTGCCCAAATGCCATCTTCGCCAGATGCCCTAACCAAATGAGACAAGATGAAAGGTCAAGCTTACCGGCACTTTCTTTTTCAATTCATTTCGATAGTATTTAATGCCAATGTCAGTAAACGTCCTCTGGATAAAGCGAGATGGACGAAGGATGAATATAAGCTGTAAGTTTCCTGGAAATGCCACCTGCAAGCATCAGGAAAAGTGTCAGGAGGAGAGAGAAAATGTCATATCCATTACCAGGGTCTACGTTGGTCTCCCCTTACCCAAGATCAAGACCACTGAAGGAAAAGTTAAAATGAATGCCATGATGTAAATCTCACCAGATTTCAGGGCTGAAAGAGACCTTAGAGGTCAGATAAGCCTAACCCCTCCTGAAAAACCAAAGCTAACCAAACAAGCAAGCAAAAATGTTTTCTGATTATAAAAATGATTCATATTATTTATAGAAAAATTGGGAAATTAATAAAAGTATACATTAGAAAGTGAAAACTCACCCATGGGTTTTCACAGCCATACTTAATATTTCCATCTGTTTACTTATAGGATGTTTTCTTTGTTTAAATATCTTTATCATGGCTCATATTATTAAAATATTTTGTAACTGGCCTTTTCACTTAATGTTATACCATAGGCTTTTATTCCTGTTATTAATAAATTCTTTGGAAATATTATTCTTTATGGGTGTACAATTTATTTAACCAATCCCTTATTGTTAATCATTTAGGCTTTTTGATAATTTTACTATTGTAAATAATGCTGATATGAACATCTTTATCCACATCTTGGAATATTTTCTGAGGCTAGAATCGTAGAATAATTACTGAATCAAAGAGTTAGTATTTTAAGTATTCTTGATGTATATTACTGCTAAGTTGCTTTCAGAAAGTATTGCCCTCATCTTAAGGCAAGGTTCTGAGCAATGAGATAGCCCAGGTTCACGTAATTGCTTAGGGGCAAACTTAGGAACCCAGGTCTCCATGGGAACTGCCACGGCTTTCCATTCTTCCAGTGGTTCCCCCAAAGCAACCTCCTATGGCGCTTTTTTTTTTTTTTTTTTTTTTTAAATCTAAATCAGGTCTTTACTCCAGACTATTGGATTCACTAGGACTGGGATGAAATCTAGGTATCAGTATTTTCAACGAGCACGTGAAGAGGTTCTGGCAGGTAGCCAGATTTGGGGATCCCTGCACTATAGCATGTTTTACATATAAAATGATCAACGTAATTCTGGAACAAATTAGGCTCAGATATTAGATTACTCATGTGTTATGTATGGACCCTGGAAAGCCAGAACTCTCTAGAGGCCAGACTGGAATAGTCATGGGCATCAATCATGGCTGCAGTTATCCCAAAGATAAATCCTATATCCAAAACTAAACTAAAGGGAGAAAACAATCCATGCAGTGATGGGAGGACTCCCTTCCCTATCTTTGAATGCAAGCTCCTAACAGAAGAACCTCGCGCTTTGTTGTCCCAAGATGGAAAGTATTGACTGAGGCATAATTTGTGAATTTGGATGAGGCTCTAGAGCAATCTGACAGGGACTCCATGTGTGTGCATGTTTGCATGTGTGACTCCTTCTGCAAGCAGGTTTAAGTGAGGTTTCAAATGTCCCTCTCCTGTCCTGCTCTACCACACTACCACATCCATCCTCTTTAGCCAGTCCCAACTGCTCCAGAGGGGCTATGCTCAGGTAAAAATGTTGACTTAGCTGGCCCTAAGGGGTCTCTGCTTGTGGCAGAGTTCACAAGTCTGAGGTCCCTACAGAGGAAGGACACATCTACTTGCTGAAAACAACAAATAGGGTTCAAAAGCAGACTATAAGCAAAAGGAGGCCAATCCAAGGTGATATAATTTAATGCAAATGCAAGCACACCTCCTACCATGCTACTTAAATATCATTGGGTCTGTTTTTGCCATTGTCTTTCTAATATATGAATAAATAATTTGGCTAGGTGCAGTGGCTCAAGCCTGTAATCCTAACACTTTGGGAGGCTGAGGTGGGTGGATCACTTGAGGTCAGGAGTTCGAGACCAGCCTGGCCAACATGGTGAAACCCTGTCTCTACTAAAAATACAAAAACTAGCCAAGCGTGGTGGTGCATGCCTGTAATCCCAGCTGCTTGGGAGGCTGAGGCAGGAGAATCACTTGAACCCGGGAGGCAGAGGTTGCAGTCAGCTGAGATCGCACCACTGCACTCCAGCCTGGTTGACACAGTGAGACACTGTCTTAATAATAATAATAATAATACTGAAATAAAGACTGTCTTAAATTGAATTGCCCCCAAAGCAAATCCTCGGACACGGATTGGTGCAGGTATTTTGTCGGGGAAGTGATTCCAGGAAGCTCGAATGAGGGAATGCTAAGGAAGACAACAATGAATAGAGTGGCAATGTCTCAATGAGGTGGTTACTACCGTAGGCAAAGGGGGCTGAGACTCTCTGGGATACTGTGTGGAACACACCTCAGAATTGCCCCACTGCGGGTCTGGAAGCTGGGGTGTTTATCTTCCAAATCCTCTAACTCAATGGTCGCAGGTTACCCCTGGGGCATTAACTTTCCAGTACTCCCCACCTGCCCCTCTTCAGTGACCAGAGAAGTCAGTAGGTAGAGAGACTTAGGAAGTCTTTGACATGCTCAGAATTGTGTGCAGCTGACCTGCAGATGGCAGAGGAGACAGGGATGTGACATAACAGCACCTGTTACAAAGATCTTCCCAAAATTTGACATAAAATAATTGCCTTTTCCCTAGGACTTTGATATGAAATAGTTGAACAGACAACTTAAATGACTTTTATAATAAAAGCACAAAAATAAATATTTACGGCTATTCGTGTCAAGGACGCCTTTACAGAGCTCCACTTGTCTCTTCGTCTGTCGATAACAACAACGAATCCAATGCTGGCAGCCTCCACACTGCAAAGAAGGTGGTCAGTGTCAGAGATTAGACCCATATGCTCCATGTGGCTCCCACAGCAGAATACACCCTGGAGCCTCCACAGCACTCCAGGCTCACCGTGTAAACACCCTGCACAGCACAACCAACTCCCTCTCCCAGTCTGAGCCTGGGAATCTTAACAAAATGGATACTTTGTCTATCAGACCCACTTAAGGACTGCCTTTCTGGCTGGCAAATGCATGAAACACCAAAGGAACACATGTGTTCAAGCCCAAAGGAATATGCACGTGTCAGGTGAGCATCACATATCCCCAGTGTAGGCAGAGGACCTCGAGGTTGAGCTCTGCCATCCTTCCACTCCCAAAGCAAACATTCATAGAGCTATCAGTACAGTAACATGCTCAGCTATGAGGCTCGAGAGCAATCTGAGAGGACGTAAAGAGAGAGGTGTTCGGAATTAATACATGTCAGTGGGAAAAGCAACCCCGTCGCAGTGCATGGCTATAAATAGGTCAAGACACCATATGCTTGAGAAGACATCATTATCACTAAGACCAAAAGGAAGCTGTTTGGTCCCCTCTCAAGTCCTCACGAAATTCTCACAGAATCCTTCGAAAGTAGAATTCTAAAAGTGAAAACATTTTTCTTATCTCCTTTGGGAAGAAGAATGGTACAGAGAAAAGAGCAAGGGCTTTGGAGCCTGGTTCAAACCCTAGTGTTGCCACTTACTAGCAGTGACTTACTAGCAGAGTTCACCTAACTCTGCTAAAATTCGGTGCTCTTCTCTGTAAAATGAGAATCATATTACCAGTAATGAGATGGTTAAAAGCACAGATTCTGGAACCAACTTGACTAGATTTGAATTCTGAATTCTATTGTGTGTGCTTTTGGGGGGTTGAGTGGTAGTTACTTAACCCCTGTAGTTTCTCGGACTCTTCGTTTGTAAAGCAGAAATAATAAAATAGTATCTATCTATGAGGTTCATATGAGGATTAAATGTGTGTGTGTGTGTGTGTGTGTGTGTGTACACATATATGTACAAACATGCAAAATGCTCAGAACAATGCCTGACACTTGGTAATACTGTATAAGAACTAGCTATTATTCTTTCTTTCTTTTCTTCACTTCTATCATGTCTTATGTGCTTGTCACAGAGATAAAAAGAGATATAGTACATGATAAGTAGTTGGCCTATAGTAAACCTTCAATAACTCTCTAATATTGGGTGAAAGGTGGGCTCTACCCTACAAAAGTGTGTACATGTGAATGAGGCAGAAGGTCTAAGCAAAACCTGCAAGAAAACATACGTAGCTAATCTCAGTTAAGCATCACTGGGTTAATAGATTCTCACAGCCCCATACTGACCCAGGTTATCTTGCTGAAAACTCATTTTAAAAATGAAAGTGAAACAAGGACACTTCCAGGCAACTAGAGGTGAGAGAATTTATTGACATTAGACATACACTTGAAGAAATATAGATTCAGCTGATGTTTAGGAAGACTTTCACTCCTACCAAAAACAAATAAAACACTGGTGAAGTTAAAAGCTCATATTTTTCCTTAAACATGGGAGAACTCTGAAGACAAAGAAATATAAATGAACAAATTCCAGAGAGACTTAAGACCTTCCATAGAGAGCAAATACTAAAGGAGACCTTTACATAAAGTGGTGGTTGCCTATTCTGGGAATAGGCAGGCAAATGAATGAATCTGAAGGGAAATAATCCAACATGATAACTTGATTTTCTTTTTTTTTTTTTTGAGACGAGTCTCACTTTGTTACCCAGGCTGGAGTGTAGTGGCACCATCTTGGCTCACTGCAAACTCCACCTCCCAGGTGCAAGTGATTCTCCTGCCTCAGCCTCCTGAGTAGCTGGGATTACAGGCATGCACCACGACACCCGGCTAATTTTTCTATTTTTAGTAGAGACAGATTTCACCATGTTGTTTAGGCTGGTCTCAAACTCCTGACCTCAGGCAATCCACCCACCTCAGCCTCCCAAAGTGCAGGGATTACAGGCGTGAGCCACCGCACCTGGCCCAGCATAGTAACTTGAATCTGCAAGAAGGAATGAAGAGTTATGTAAACGTTAAATATGTGAATATATAGTGTATACATAGTATTATCAACTATTTTTTTATTTCTCTGAAGACTACTGACTAATCAAAGTAAAAGTAACAAAGTATTATTATAAAATAAATGACGTCACAACAATAGCATGAAGAATGGAATGGAGTAAGTAAAATTACTTTTACTTATTATTAGCCAGGTGCAGTAGCTCACACCTATAATCCCAGCAACTTAGGAGGCCAAGGCGGGAGGATCGCTTGGGCTCAGGAGTTCAAGGCCAGCCTGAGCAATATAGCAAGACACTATCTCCACTAAAATTTAAAAAATTAGCCAGGCATGGTGGCATGTACCCATAGTCTCAGTTCCTCAATAGGCTGTTGTGGGAGGATTGCTTGAGCCCAACAGATAGACTGGGCTCAAAACAAAAACAAAAACAAAAACCCCCAAAAAACAAAGTACTATTAAAGCTAGTATTGGGTGAAATTAAACTATACTATTTATGTTGTATATAAAGTGGTATGAAATTAATCCCAGGTAGATTGTGCTAATTTAAAAACACATACTGTGACATTAGGAAATAATTGCTAAAAACTCAATAAAGGAGATAAACAGAATACTGAAAATATTTGAATAATTCAAAAGAAGGCAGGAAAGGAGAAATAAGGGAACAAGTCAGAGATGGGCAGATTAAAACCCAACCATCTTAACAATCACATTAATTGGAAATGGCCTATAACACTCCATTTAAAATGCAAATAGCCAATGCAAAAACATACCAAAATGTAAAGACCATCGACACTATGAAGAAACTGCATCAACTAACGTGCAAAATAACCAGCTAGCATCAGAATGACAGGATCAAATTCACACATAACAATATTAACCTTAAACATAAATGGACTAAATGCCCCAATTAAAAGACACAGACTGGCAAATTGGATAAAAAGTCAAGATCCATTGGTGTGCTGTATTCAGGACACCCATCTCACGTGCAAAGACACACATAGGCTTAAAATAAAGGGATGGAGTAATATTTACCATGCAAAAGGAAAGAAAAAAAAGGCAGGGGTTGCAATCCTAGTCTCTGATAAAACAGACTTTAAACCAACTAAGATCAAAAAAGACAAAGAAGGGCATTGCATAATGGTAAAGGGATCAATGCAACAAGAAGAGCTAACTATCCTAAATATATATGCACCCAATACAGGTGCACCCAGATTCATAAAGCAAGTCCTTAGAGACTTACAAAGAGACTTAGACTCCCAAACAATAATACTGAGAGACTTTAACACCCTACTGTCAATATTAGATGGAGACAGAAAATTAACAAGGATATTCAGACTTGAACTCAGCTCTGGACCTAATAGACATCTACAGAACTCTCCACCCCAAATCAACAGAATATACATTCTTCTCAGCACCACATAGCACTTATTCTAAAATTGACCACATAATTGGAAGTAAAATACTCCTCAGCAAATGTAACAGAATGGAAATCATAACAAATAGTCTCTCACACCACAGTGCA